AGTAAAAAGTGACAACTTGCCGTGGGGACCCCTACCTGAAATTGCCCAAACATGATTATGCTGCAGAGAGACAAAGAATTTGCTGGTCTCAAGTCTATAATTAACTGTACCGTGAAGGTACTGTATCCAAAGAAACAAAACCATAAAATACTCAACTGTAATATTCAGACAAGTATCCAACTATTTTGCTTGAAGTTCAAAACAACTTGTTATCTCTAATAACAAGACTAGCATAATACTTCCCTTCCAAAACTACAGTAAATCTAGAAAAACAAGATGTGTTGTCTGAACTTCCTTGAAAAAACATTAACAAATAAATAAGAAAAGCTACATACATTGTATAATGTAATCTAATGTATAAAAAAACGCTGCATATTTTTCACTGTGTAAACTAAATATATATGTCTTCTTATTAAAACTACAAAAGTGATTTAGTCAAGAGCAGTGAGATTTTCTCTCTTTTATTGTTTGATTAACATGAATGAGACAGCAGGAATATTAAACTGCTGTCACTTTAAGAGCTTCCCAGATCCAATATAGTGTTACACATGTGTTTTCTTTCTCAGCTGTTTGCTTTCACTTAAGACCTACTGTGTTTACGAGGATACTTGCAAAGACAAGCATTTTGACACATACAAGTGTGTGTATTTAACCGTTCAAGGCCTAAAGCAGCAAAAATAACTCAATAAATAAGTTCAATACTCCTGCACTCTATGAGTACCATCTTTGGTCCTGGGCATTAACAGTGCAAAGTTTGAGCCTTTTTGTACATTTACGTATTTGCATATACAGAAATAAACCTACCCCAAGATATAGTCACTAGAGTAAAAAGTGACAACTTGCCGTGGGGACCCCTACCTGAAATTGCCCAAACATGATTATGCTGCAGAGAGACAAAGAATTTGCTGGTCTCAAGTCTATAATTAACTGTACCGTGAAGGTACTGTATCCAAAGAAACAAAACCATAAAATACTCAACTGTAATATTCAGACAAGTATCCAACTATTTTGCTTGAAGTTCAAAACAACTTGTTATCTCTAATAACAAGACTAGCATAATACTTCCCTTCCAAAACTACAGTAAATCTAGAAAAACAAGATGTGTTGTCTGAACTTCCTTGAAAAAACATTACAAAACTGTTGCCAACAAAATGACATTAAAGCTCCGAAATATTCCCTTTCAGGGAAGCAATACTAAAACTCATTCATCTCTGCAGCCCTCTGTCCTCCTCTCTGCAGAGGCAATTGCTCCTGCTTATTTGTCATAACTGATAACACCCTTTACAAACAATACTTTTTCAGGCAATAGGTTCAGTCAAAACAGATTGTTCTGGTCAACTGGATGCTGTTCTGCCTGCTTTATTTGAGCAACTTATCCTTACTCTCGCTCCCTCCCTCCCTCCCTCCCTCCCTCACACACACACACACACACACACACACACACACACACACACACACTACAAGGTTAATAATAAGAACATCAATATTGTTTTGTGAGTTTAGTGACTGAACCTAATACCTGTAGGCAAGTGTAACCAGATCAACACTCCCAAACACAATCCTTTACATCGCTTTAGCTGTGCCATTAAAAGTGAATACAGTCAATACAGGAACAAACAAATGTAAATCCCCTAAATCTCTGAGATAACTGAACAGAACTGCACATTGTTTGTGTTTTTCGACTAATCCAAACAGCCCGTAAACCACTTACATCCCACCTTATACAGAACAAAAGTTTATCCACTGTTATCCACTACATTTTCATCAAATATCCATTCAAATATTCGGTTTCATTCTGACAAGTATGCATCTATTACAAAACAACCTTTTATTTCAGCAATCAGTGTTGGGGATTCACCTAACTTGACACTGGACATTAACTTGACATAAAATCAACACTATTTTGAAAAACTAAGATACAAAAAAATTAAAAATGTTAAGTTAGTAGCCTCACTTCTTATAGTACTAACTTGACTACATTTTTCTATAGCCTAATTGTTCAAAATAGCGTCCTATTTTTTTAGTAATAAGCATTTTTTCAGCAAGTAGCAGGTAGCTTGACAAACACAGTAAGTCGTATTTAACATCACATTCAATTGTTGTATTGGCAATGTATAGAAGGGTATGAGAATACATACAGTACAGCTTTTCCTTTCTGTCAGATGAAGCATTGGAAAGTCCAATGCATTCTAGTCAATCAGTTTGTTTGGACTGTTCGAATACATGAACTGATTCAAAACAACTCACCAATTCACTAAATATTAAATGAAATGCTCAGTGCTATGTTATTCAACTTAGTTACATAAACTAGGGTGTATTCTAGTGTATTTGCTGTAAATGTATCTGTTCAAGTTAGATGCAGTCACTCTAACATTTTATAGTTAATTTATACTACTTTTTAAAAATAGTAGCTTGGCTGTAGTTGAACGATGTTAAATTATGAGAAGCCAGTGAGCAGCATCACAACATAGTTCTGAAAGTTTAAAATGTAATTATATAATTTATACTTAATTGTTATTATTAAATTGTATAATTTATTTTTTGCAATAATACTTTCAGTAGTAGTAGTACTCATTAAGTAGTACTTAATGAGAAATTATTATTTCTCATTAAGTAGCTATACAATGTGCAATTTTTGTACAGCAAATAAATGAATTAAAAAAAAGTATTAATTGATTCATTCATTTATTACAGCCATTATTATTTTATTACCGATAACATTGTCACAATCCATTAAAACTCAAACAATCACACAGACATAAACCACTTCTCCGTTAAGTTAAAATCCTCTTTTGACCAAAACATCCTTCTGGCATGTCGGAGAGGAATAACTACGCTGTGTGAATCCTGCTATGGATAAACGGAAGGTAAAACAGAGTTTAACACAGGAGAGTGACCCTCTCTCACCTCACACTACAAGGTTAATAATAAGAACATCAATATTGTTTTGTGAGTTTAGTGACTGAACCTAATACCTGTAGGCAAGTGTAACCAGATCAACACTCCCAAACACAATCCTTTACATCGCTTTAGCTGTGCCATTAAAAGTGAATACAGTCAATACAGGAACAAACAAATGTAAATCCCCTAAATCTCTGAGATAACTGAACAGAACTGCACATTGTTTGTGTTTTTCGACTAATCCAAACAGCCCGTAAACCACTTACATCCCACCTTATACAGAACAAAAGTTTATCCACTGTTATCCACTACATTTTCATCAAATATCCATTCAAATATTCGGTTTCATTCTGACAAGTATGCATCTATTACAAAACAACCTTTTATTTCAGCAATCAGTGTTGGGGATTCACCTAACTTGACACTGGACATTAACTTGACATAAAATCAACACTATTTTGAAAAACTAAGATACAAAAAAATTAAAAATGTTAAGTTAGTAGCCTCACTTCTTATAGTACTAACTTGACTACATTTTTCTATAGCCTAATTGTTCAAAATAGCGTCCTATTTTTTTAGTAATAAGCATTTTTTCAGCAAGTAGCAGGTAGCTTGACAAACACAGTAAGTCGTATTTAACATCACATTCAATTGTTGTATTGGCAATGTATAGAAGGGTATGAGAATACATACAGTACAGCTTTTCCTTTCTGTCAGATGAAGCATTGGAAAGTCCAATGCATTCTAGTCAATCAGTTTGTTTGGACTGTTCGAATACATGAACTGATTCAAAACAACTCACCAATTCACTAAATATTAAATGAAATGCTCAGTGCTATGTTATTCAACTCAGTTACATAAACTAGGGTGTATTCTAGTGTATTTGCTGTAAATGTATCTGTTCAAGTTAGATGCAGTCACTCTAACATTTTATAGTTAATTTATACTACTTTTTCAAAATAGTAGCTTGGCTGTAGTTGAACGATGTTAAATTATGAGAAGCCAGTGAGCAGCATCACAACATAGTTCTGAAAGTAGTTACATAAACTAGGGTGTATTCTAGTGTATTTGCTGTAAATGTATCTGTTCAAGTTAGATGCAGTCACTCTAACATTTTATAGTTAATTTATACTACTTTTTAAAAATAGTAGCTTGGCTGTAGTTGAACGATGTTAAATTATGAGAAGCCAGTGAGCAGCATCACAACATAGTTCTGAAAGTTTAAAATGTAATTATATAATTTATACTTAATTGTTATTATTAAATTGTATAATTTATTTTTTGCAATAATACTTTCAGTAGTAGTAGTACTCATTAAGTAGTACTTAATGAGAAATTATTATTTCTCATTAAGTATCTATACAATGTGCAATTTTTGTACAGCAAATAAATGAATTTAAAAAAAGTATTAATTGATTCATTCATTTATTACAGCCATTATTATTTTATTACCGATAACATTGTCACAATCCATTAAAACTAAAACAATCACACAGACATAAACCACTTCTCCGTTAAGTTAAAATCCTCTTTTGACCAAAACATCCTTCTGGCATGTCGGAGAGGAATAACTACGCTGTGTGAATCCTGCTATGGATAAACGGAAGCTAAAACAGAGTTTAACACAGGAGAGTGACCCTCTCTCACCTCTCCCAGTGACTGCAGACATTGGGGTCATCTGGGTTGAGGCTCCATGCGCTGATAATGAGGCCCAGAACAGCCAGCACAGGCAGGGCTAATGGGTAGGCCCGTACCGGCCCCATGACTCCTCCTGAGAAAAAGAGAGAGAGTGAGAGAGAAAGAGACCAATACTTTCAGTAGTAGTAGTACTCATTAAGTAGTACTTAATGAGAAATTATTATTTCTCATTAAGTAGCTATACAATGTGCAATTTTTGTACAGCAAATAAATGAATTAAAAAAAAGTATTAATTGATTCATTCATTTATTACAGCCATTATTATTTTATTACCGATAACATTGTCACAATCCATTAAAACTCAAACAATCACACAGACATAAACCACTTCTCCGTTAAGTTAAAATCCTCTTTTGACCAAAACATCCTTCTGGCATGTCGGAGAGGAATAACTACGCTGTGTGAATCCTGCTATGGATAAACGGAAGGTAAAACAGAGTTTAACACAGGAGAGTGACCCTCTCTCACCTCTCCCAGTGACTGCAGACATTGGGGTCATCTGGGTTGAGGCTCCATGCGCTGATAATGAGGCCCAGAACAGCCAGCACAGGCAGGGCTAATGGGTAGGCCCGTACCGGCCCCATGACTCCTCCTGAGAAAAAGAGAGAGAGTGAGAGAGAAAGAGACAAGGACACTTTTTGTCCTTTATCATTCTTCTGAACTGGAGCCCTTGGAGCATTCTTGGAAGTGCAGTGAAAAGAAATTACTTTTTAAGAATAATATCAAGAAATGTTACAGGAATTCGATAAGCGTGTGACCGTGAGTCTTTGTTATCAGCTGACCGAAATGGGTGAATAACCAAAGTGTGGTGGCAGATGGCTGATATAATGGTGTGATATAGACTAATACAATTTAATTAAAACAAATTAGATGTTTACAAACCTTTTTTTTTTTTTTACACAATATTTTCTTAATAATCTCCAAATGTCCAAATATTGTGGGATTCACTCATCTGGTCTTTATGCACATTATATATTTACACATATTTGTGTGACTGTGTATGTTCTGTAACACTTAGCACAAGACATTAGTCCCCTGACAGTGATGAAGGACTCTTTAAGACCACACAGGGTGAACCGTTTGTTTAAACTGTCAAGATATTTCATTAGACAACATGATGGGAGATGAGCATGTGTGTGATGAATTGACATGACAGAGACAGATGTAGAAGGGCACGTGAAAGACACGCTGCTCAAGCATGGGCCAGCGAAGCGTGAAAGCACTGATTATGTTAAACAGCAGGGGGTATCGCAGAAGGACACAAGAACAACAGTTTGCTTGATTCTAGGCAACTCTAATGTATATGATCAGAAAAGAAGCACTATTACAACCGTTAACGAGGCGCAAGTGAGTGTGTTTGTGACATTTTTATGATATTGCGCTTTGTTTGGACCATATACCTGATCTGTTAATGATCTGCATGATGTGTCTAATAAAATTCGCTTCACTCACTTGCCAATCTGAGACCATTGAAAGGTCTTCACAGGTTATTCTTGTGTGAGAGAAAATCAATATCGATTTCACTTACACTATATAACAGTTCATTCAAAGGCAGAGACTGAAGTCATGTTCATTTCTGTAAAAAGGTTAATTTACAGTCACCCATTGAAGGCTTTGTATCATTCCACACCAAGACTGCAGCTGTAAGACATCTCTATTAGAGGAAATCTGTTATGATGTTCTGCTCAGCTGTACAAACAGCTGTTCCCTATAGTGAATCACTAAAATGACAGCTTGGAAGTTAAAATGAAGCACACTGGTTTCATCTGTATTCCTAGATAGGTGGATATGTACATTTTGCATGCTTGCATAGACTTTGAAATGTACAATAACTTAAAAGATGTAAAACCTTTATAAATCCTCTTATGATTGGTCAGAACCGTAATTGCTAGAACCTTTACAAGTGTACCGCAGAACTGATTTCAACTGAGACACAACCACATAAGCAGGAAACTTTAGGAACCTAGTCTAAGACCTCTTTATTGGTAATTTATTCATAAATAAAATCCAAGAAACACTGTCAATGTTACAGTCGTTTACTGAACTGTGTGTTTCTATGCTGTCACAATGGTTTTGAAAGTCTGTAGAAATCACACAGAACAGAGTGAGCCTCAAAAGATTAAAAAAAGGTTTGAACATGTATGAATTAAATTAACCAAAATTCACACAGTAAAGACACAGTAAAGAAAGTTATTTTGAACTTTCTGTTCATGAAACAATCTTGAGCAAAAAATATTACGGTTTCCACAAAAATATTAAGCAGCACAACTGTGATTTCAACTGTGAAAATAATAAGAATAGTTTTTGAGCACCAATTAAGCATATTCTAATTAGCATGTTAAAATAGACTGGAGTTATGGCTGCTGAAAATGTAGCTTTGCCATTACAATAATTAATTACATTTTAAGAAATATTAAAACAGAAAACAAATTAAATTGTAATAATATTTCATAATATTACAGTTGTTTTAACAGTGGTTTTGATAAATGCAGCCTCTGTAAGCATATCAGACTTGCATAAATATTAAAAAAATCTTACAGAGCTCAAACTTTTTAAATGTAGTATACGTTGAAACTAGGTTAGGTAGAAACAGCTCTTTAAAGTAGGAGCAAAAACCAATTGCAGGATACCAAGTGGCTGTTGATTTGTCCTGCTAACCATTTAACACAGTCCAATTTTAAAACAACACTATTGCAGTTATTGACAACACTAGCTGACATCCAAATTATAGGAGTTAATGTAGAATGTCTGCTATAAACATATATGGATGGCAAAAGCAATAAGTTTTAAGGGATGATCACTTACACTTCTTCTGTAATGAATTCCATGTATAATGAATCACTGATTTGCACCGTAAGATCACTTAGCCTTTAATCAAAATGCATCTGCGGCTCTCTGTTATCCCCATAGACTTGCGGTGGTTCTTGAGCATGAAAAAGATTGTACTTTTGTCATGGCTTAGAAGTAGGAGTACCATAATGAGGCATCTGACATCAAATTATTCTGTGTTTCCTCTTGAAGTGCAGGTGACTCTAATGAACACTGATTTCTAAGAATTAAAGCTGCATGGATCCGACCAGCATAATGGTGATTGCGAATGAGGAGCGACAGGAGCAAAGGCGATGGATCCCAGTCAGACTCACCTCAGACCACGTGCTACAATCCCTGGAGATGTCTGCTGTGGAAGATCACTGCTCGCCCGAACCAGACAACCAGACCAAAAGAGCTGGAGACCAGACAGACCGATAATCAGGCTCAAAGCAAAGAGAGGGCACCTGGGTATTGAGAAAGAGAGAGAAGAAACAGTTAGTGTTCAACTTCAGAACAAGAGAGCACAAGAGAGCAGGGAAAAGGTCTAAATGACAAAAGAGAATGAAAAGATTGAGGAAAAGGGACACTTGGGGAACTGACTCGAGCATTAGGAGCTCCCCAATGCAACAGCTGCTAAATCCCCGATATTAAATCTAAACCGCACTTCCAGTTTGGAGGGGATGCAACATCGGGTGCAACACACAAGGGTGAGAGTGTGCATTACTTTAAGTGCATGGAGAGACAAAGCCTCTCATCGCCCCGCAAGCGCCACGAGAGCATTCTCAACAATAGCAAAAGGAGAACAAGCTATTCATGGCCATTAACGACACAATGACAAGTACCGCCGTGCCGACAGCTCGGGTCTAACTAGGGGCCTCGTATTCCTCAGCCTCATTACGTGGATCTTCATTATGCTTGAGTCGGGCCTTGGGTCATCTACGTGGGGTTCAGAAAAAGATGAGAAAAATAACACTGCGGGTGCAAACAAAAGATTCTGTTTCCTCGCTGTCATCGAGATTCATTATTTATTCTCCTTCTCCTTCAGATTCAGAAGAGGCTGGGCAGAAAGCCCGAGGCGAGTACACGGAGTGGAACAAGAGCAGGAAGACGAGCTGGAAGCACACTGGAGGGGACAGGCTGTCTGGAAGTGACCTCTTCCACCGCTGTTCTGTCTACAAGCTGAAAAGTTCAGCAGTCAGCCTCTAAAAGCTACTGGGTCTTGTTTGTCTGTCTAAGCAGTCCGTGGAGCATCACTGAGAAACACGCAGTTTGAAGATACTAAGATGTGACGGAGGTGCAATAATCCACGACTCATGTTCTGTTGGATTTACATAAGAAGTATTCTTTAGAATCCCGAAGGGAAATTCTACAAACAAATGATGCTCTGAATTCTTCTGTTTATTGGTGGCAACAAGCCTAAGGGTGCAAAATGGGATTGCATATATTACCCCAACGAGGCCCTCAGGGTGGAATGTATAGGCACATCACATTACAGACTCATTACAGAGCATAATGAAGTGTGTAATTGAAAGCTAACTGAATGAAAGGTGAGAGTTAGATTGAACCGAAAGTGGAATTTCCATGTGAAAGAAGCTAACTCTGTAAATAATACAACTGAACACTGTACGTAGTATGACTGTATCTTGCTATCACAAATCCACTCGCATATATCGATTTACATTTTCAGCATCACAGTGTTGAATGGATAAATTATTTGGAAAGTCTTTTATGCTCACCGAAGCTCTATTTATTTTAACAAAATGCAGTTACAGTTTTTCTATTTTAATATATTTTCAAATGTAATTTATTTCTTGTGACTGCAAAGCTGAATTTTCAGCAGTCATTATTCCAGTCTTCAGTGTCACATGATCCTTCAGAAATCATTCTAATATACTGATTTGATACTCAAGAAACATTTCCTAATATTATCTAAAACAGTTTTGCTGCTTAATATTTTTGTGAAAACCATGATACATTTTTGTCCAGAATTCCTGGAAGTTAAAAAGAATAACATTTGAGATGCTTTTTTTTTGCAACACCTAGATATCTTTACTGTCACTTTTGATACATTTAATGCATCCTTGCTAAATAAAAGTATTAATTTCTTTAAAAGAAATTGCACCGACCCCAAATTTTTGAATGGTATTGTAGGTTATATGCCAATATTATGATATAGCTTTTAATTTATCGGTATCAGCCAGCATTAGATTTTGATGTCCTGATGCCTTGTAGCATTTAAAATGACTCATTTTAGTTTTCAGTATTTTATTTTTATTTAGACAGAACCATATCAAATTTTAATATCGGCCATTTATCATAATCAAGCATAACATGACAACAATTAATCGGCTGAACAGTACTGACATTTTAATATCATGCATCTCTACTATTAGAGAGGTTGTATTTGTTTAAAACACTAAACCTCCATCACACTTCAAGATTAATCTTTGAATAAAACCTCTCAGACAATCAGCTTAGTGTTAGTGAAATGAGAGAATGCATTAGGCTTTGTTCTGCTGCCATGTATTTCGATGGTTGTAGTATTACATGACAACCATGAAACAAATGGGTAACTAAAAGTATTTCACCCAAGACCGTGATACTGAAATATGAAGCCATACCATTTTACTTCTCATTAATGAGTCTGTGGACATAGAACAATAACCTAAAACTCAGATCAATATGGTAGGCCACAATGTGTATTTGTTGTCTCCTCTGCCTGCCTGGCATCACAATAGGAACAACATGTTTTATTGTCTCCATTTCACACACTAAAGATCCTTTTCATTAAACTAAAACTCCCTTTTGGATTCTTTTATCTTGCTGCACTTATTTTTGGCTTTGGAATACAACAATGCAGTAGTCTTCATAGACTTTGAGGTATGTAAATAATAAAAAAGTGCCAGGTGATACTGCTCTGTATCCAGACTCGAGAGATAAAAAGAGTCCTTTAAAATACTCAATCCAACTCTGTATTCCCACCTTGTCAACCAAAGGAGACATCGACATGATTCAGGACATGCACGTATTAGAGCTCAATGCAATTAACCGACCAATTCCCTGATCCTCCTGCATCTGAGACCCTCTGTGAGTGATGTTATGGGTCTGCTGGCAGCTCTCTCAACGATAAAGTAAAATCAACCCATCCACTCAGACAGGAGTCATGACCGCATCTTAAGTTTATGTCAGCATGTCACCATGCAATGGTTATTTATTTCTGTCCTCATTTAGGAGAAGCTACTGACCATTTACATATAATCATTTAGAAACTGAAGAGGTTGCTGACGTTGGAGCGAAGACGCAGATTAGAACCGCTGACATGATACTTAGAATTTCAGTAGTGATTGATTTCATATATAGTAAAGCACAGTGTTCTACTGTACTATACACGTTTCCATCCATCACATGATTTCTGTCTTCATGTACAAGATTAGATTTGTTAATACTACATGCACCAGTTACAGCTACGTTTACACTGTAAGCCTGATGCTCAATTCTGATTTATTGCTCAGATTTGATTTGGTGTTTGGCTGTTCACTTTATTTATATTTTTTGAACGTGTCCAATATCAGATTTGTGTGAACCTGTCACAGTCCTCGACTGCCTCGCATGTGCCACTGGAGGCCACTGAAGGCCACTGAAGTTAGTGCTTACGCGTTCACTTACAAGGTGATGTGTCGCGAAAGCTAGTGAATCTGTACGCAGATGGATGAGGGGGAAGAGTGCTACTTTAAGTTTTTCTCACATAATTTTTCCTCAGGTTTTATTTGTTGTCACTGTGATACTTGCAGTGGCGGCTCGTGGGTTTTAAAATAGAGGCGGCATTGGTCGATTGTATTGGTCTGGGATCCCTGCCGATTTAAAAGTCAGGGGACGTCGTGGCCTAATGGTTAGAGAGTCGGACTTGTAACCCAAAGGTTGTGAGTTCGAATCTCAAGTCTGGCAGGAATTGTAGGTGGGGGGAGTGAATGTACAGCACTCTCTTCCACCTTCAATACAAGCAAGGCACTGAACCCCTAACTGCTCCCCGGGCACTGCAGCATAAATGGCTGCCCACTGCTCTGGGGCTTCACTTCACTGCTGTGTGTGTGCACTTAGGATGGGTTAAATGCAGAGCACTAATTCCTAGTATGGGTAACCATACTTGGCCACATTTTTGGTTGCTTTTAGTCAGAAAACCTAAAGACTTAAACGACACACATACAGCAAGATAATATAATTTCACTTACCTGTCCTATCACTTGAAGCAAACATCCATCCTTTCTTAAAAGTCTGTGTTAAAAGAGAGCTCTTTAAATGGCACAATTAAATTGCCTGTTGTGCCATTTAATTAAGCCAACTGCTGTAGCCTATACCCAGTTAGGCGTGTTTTCCCTTCTTTTTTTATTTATTTGTGTATATAGGGGAGAGCGGGGCAAAAAGTAACACTTTGACTTTCTCAAATTGTGTAAATCCACATGGGGTTCAGAGTATAATTTTTTTATCCACAGTAATTTCATACTTGTCTAGTACAAATATGTCGCCTTGTTTCATAATTACAGTGTATACGTTTTTCTTTAATTACTCTCAAAAATTGGAAGTGAAATGTGACAACATGCCCCATAGGTGGGGTACATTGTAACAACTGAGGGGCACATTGTAACATGACCATATAACAGCTTAAAATGTTATCTGATCACATTAAAAAAATATACAAGACAAACTAAAATATTTTGTCAATAAAATACTTTATTGTACTTAAGCCAGAAATATTATTTTACTATGGTAAAATAAATGTTCAGCGATATCTTCAAAAGACTTTTGAATTTTGGTGCACTTTTTTTTTAATATATATAATGTTGATATGGTAACTAGTAAATGCTGTAAATTTGGTTATGCTAGCATGTGTGGAAATATTTAAACTACGTGTTACAACTTGCCCCGCGCTCCCCTACTGTTTGACAGCTTGGTAAATCTGTTGGCGATCAAATATTCAATATCGCTACTCATCATAAGTACTAAGAGATGGGAGACGTTCAATAATAGCACGTCATTTACGTCTCTATGATGATTGGTTGATATACCAGAAGGGAGGCTAGCCTCCCTCGCGAGGGTTCTTTTCTCCACACTCCTCAGCCCTGAAAGTGACCACTCGATGCTGATTGGCTAATTTTTTGACCAGCGGAGCTCAGCTCTCCCCCGGCCTCCCCCTACCCTTCTCTATCATTAGCGGTTGTAATTACATCAGCAGATTCGGCACATTCGCGATAGAAAAGTGGCGCTTTCCAACTTCAGTAACATGTTATTACAGCAGTGAAATTACAAAAAAAAAAATACACACGAGACATGAACTGAAATGAATTGTGAATTTTATTAACATTAAATCGTCCTCCTCCCATTTTCACCTCAAAATTTTGGGGAATCTGTGCCTCCCCTGCCTCCCCCAACGAGCCGCCACTGGATACTTGAGTTGTAACACCTCACT